TTTTTTAAAATATTAAAACTACACTTTTTCTTTGAAGATTTGCCATTGGTGTAGTGTTCAAATGGTTTGTTTAGTTGAATATTTGGAAGAACATCATATTCACTTGTATAAGACGTAAGGTAAGGAATATTAACACCACAGCCTCCTCTTATAATTGGGTCTCGGACTCTGGGTTGGCCCAACAACTGATGACTTCATTTTTTAAAATTTCAGGTTACTTCGGGTTCATACTACTTCATGTTCGGGTCAATGTGGGTTCAAGTAGAGAACTATATGTTCATCACCATTATCATTCGGTTTGGGTCGACCCAACGGGTTAAAACTTTGATTTTAAACAAAATTTAAGTTCATATTAACACTTGCATTTTTCTTTAAGTAAAATTAAAATATCAAAAAAATGTACTATATCTTTTATATTATTTTATTTTAAACTATGAAATGATTTTACCTCTTAAATTATGAAATGATTTTACCTCTTATATATATATGTGTATATATATATATATATTTAAAAGTTTTTTTAATGAAAGAGAAAGAAAGAGAAAAAAGTACAAAGGAGGGGGTTGGCCGGACCCCTACAAGGCCTGAAAACTCTAAAAGTCCAAAGATAAAAATTGAACATCAAAAAGCAACAACTTAAATAGGTCCCAATGCTTTGTTTTGTCTCTTGTTGTCTTCATATGGTTGGAGAAGAAAGCTATTATCTTGCGTCTGCCATCACTGAAGCCAAAGTATACTTCAAACATCTCATCCCAACGTGGTGGACCTCTCTACTGCAGGAATATGGGTGTACTTTGACTTGTTCCTAGTTGGAAGAATATTAAAGAGGTAGTGTACCATTCAGGCTGGCTTAAGCAGTTAAGCAGCAGATAAGCATGACCAAAAATCATCACTGTGAGTCCTCATGTCACTACTCCCAATCCATGCAGGTCAATGAGACCAGGGCAGTAGAGTATCCAGTTGCAGTAGAGAGTTGCATCTCTAAAACCTAATTAATTAGTGCCCATAAACAAGAGAACCAGTAGGGTCTCAAGGTGACCATGTATTAGAAGTAAACCACTGTGAAAGAGTCCCCAGAAGTCCTTCCATTCATTCATTGTCTATGAGGTGTTCACAAAAAGACGTAATGATAGGTTCGTCAATGTTGGCGCATGATAGTAGGACTGGATGTCGCGTACCTTTTATCTTGATTGCCCTAATGCATTGTGCGCTCTTCATAGCATCCCTTGTAGCTTTTATTGCCTTGCCCTGAAGAGTTTGAACAAGTCCCTTCTGAATCTTATCGTTGATGAAAGGCGAATGCAAAGATTCCTTAATCATCCATAGAGATTGCTCAAAATCATCGCTAATATGTTGCTCAAATATGGGCTTAAGAATCTCAAACTCCTTTTGGAGATCTCCGCTTGCTGGTTCTTCCACATTATCATCAATGATCATTAGCTTAAGTTCAAATTGAATTGGATCATCTGTTCTTGAAACTTCCACTTCTGGTGCTTGCTTAAACAGCCCTTCGATAATCATCTGCTCTTCATGGTTCATTAGACATGCTTTTAAAGACTCTTCTTCTGTGGTCAACCCCCCAGGAGTGGCATGATCAATCTCCTTAACACTTAGAACTGAGTCTTTTTGCAGTAGAGCTACTGTCTGTATCCCATGTTCTTCATTATTTTGAGGAGCTATAAACTCCAAAGAAGTCTGTGTGCCCACTGGATGTTCATTTCCCCCTGCCCCTTGACTAAAACAATTCCCAGCAGAAGCTTTGTCTTCGGATAACTCAACTTTTTCATGGACCAGTGTGTTCGCATTAGGAATAGTATCAGTATTCTTAGAATTCCCAAAGAAGGCATCAACAGCGTTATAGAAACAATTTGAACCTCCTTTATCCACTGGAATAACAATAGAGGTGCTCCCTTCTACCCTAGACTCAAGAATTCTGATAAAACTTCCCCACCTATTTGACCCATTTGAGATGGAAATTTTTCGCTGCCTTTCAAACCGAGTAATAGCCCAAGCATTTTTCCGATTTAATTTGGGGAAAATCTCAAGAATCCATTCCAACCCTTGGAAATCAAACCAGATATTATAATTCTTCCTCCCAACTTCACTAATACAGAAATTCTGGTTATAGAAAGAGTGAAAAAGATTAAAAACCTTGGATTGGATTCGAAAGGAGTGAAACCAATTGAGACTATCACGATTTTGCCTTGGATCCTTCGAATAGTCATTTTGTCTTAGGGTTCTCTTCCACAACCAGCAGTCTGTAGACGGACGATGATGAGCCCCTCTCTGAAATATGTGATTTTCATTCCAATGGAACCCTTCTGCCTGGAATCCTTGAGGCCGACGAACATTAAACCGGCGATACGCTTTTGACTGGAGGGTGACCCTTTCTCTTGGATTTGAATGGAAATGATTGCCATGGCGATGGCGTGAATCGCCCAAATCGCCTAAGAAATCCTCTCTCTCTAAACCCATTATATATATATATGTATGTATATATATATATGTATATATGTATGTATATATATATATATGTATATATGTATGTATGTGTATATATATATATATATATAATGTTCTCTCCCTCTAGATTTCTCCTCGGCTAGGTTTCCGCCGACCGCCACTATGGCGGGCCGGCGACCATCTTCTAGCAATGGCCACCACTCTCCCTCATCCTCGAAGCTTCAACGACATAGCTATCAAGGGCGACTACAAACCAGCGACGAAATACAAAGGCCAACCGGCTATATCCTTCTCAGATGAAGAAATCATCAATTTGTCTGCTAGGTTTGTTTGCACAATCGTGGGTCGATTCACCAAGGGTAGACCATGCCTAATCTCAATCCATAAGGCCTTTGAACGAATTGCTTTTGAAAACGAGTTTATTGTAAGTTTGCTAGATGAATCTCACATCTTAATTAATTTCGAATATGAGAATGACTTTCTGCGATGCTTGCTGCGAAAATACTGGAAGATTAATGGCTTTATTTTGAAAGTGTTCCGTTGGACTCATGATTTTGATCCAAATATTGATTCCCCATTGATTCCAGTTTGGATTAGTCTTGAAGGTCTTCCCATTCATTTTTTTGATTCTCTGGCTTTATATTCAATTGCCAATTTGATTGGTAAACCACTGAAAACTGATGCTGCAACAGCAAACCTGTCAAGGCCATCTATTGCACGTATTTGTGTTGAGGTTGATACCAGTGAGGAACTGCCCCATGGTGTCTGGATACATCTTGGACAACTTACTTTTCATCAACCTATCCACTATGAAGATCACCCTGGATACTGCCCCTCTTGCAAATCCTTTGGACACAAAAAATGCAAAAAAGCCACAAAATCCTCTAAATGGGTGGTGAAGGAATTGCCAGGGACTGGGAATACAGCTCTTGCTGTAGCTGTCCCTCTGTTGCAAACGGTGGACACCACCTTAAAACTTGTGGCAAAACAAGTTGATGGTCAGAATCAGGATGGTGCTAATGAAAATGATACCACTTCTGTAGAAACAAATTCTCCTGCTCAGGTTGAAACAAATTTGATTCAATCTGATCAAAAATCTGAGGCAATTAATCTAGAACAGATACTAGAACCTGGAGCTGAAACCCTTGAAATAGATCATGAGGTACAATCTGCAAGCGACACGTATACAAGTTATTCCATTCTGAGTGACCTTTGTTCATGGTTTAGGACATTTTGGTGGCTAATTGATCTTAGTTGTAATTTGGCAGGGAATACATCCCAGGGGCGTGTTTGCAGCCTTGACAGTGTTAGAACATCTATTGCCCAGTGTGCCAGGGTTTGTGCGTTTTGAAAAACAAAAGGTGTGTTCTTTAATATTATTTTTTTGCTTTTTAAAAAGTGGACTCTTCATTTGACTCATTAGCAAACAGTTCAAAGTCTGATTTTTTTAAAATATTAAAACTACACTTTTTCTTTGAAGATTTGCCATTGGTGTTGTGTTCAAATGGTTTGTTTAGTTGAATATTTGCAAGATCATCATATTCACTTGTATAAGACGTAAGGTAAGGAATATTAACACCACAGCCTCCTCTTATAATTGGGTCTCGGACTCTGGGTTGGCCCAACAACTGATGACTTCATTTTT